CTGGAAAACGATCTTACTGAAGACCAAACATCAAGTTCCACACAAAGTGCAATCAAATCAGGTTCAATTTAATAAGTTTGAGCTATCAAATTTCTTAATTGCACTTATTTACACAGACTACGCAGGCAACAGACGTAAATGAAAATCATTAATTTTCCATAATTACTCCCAAGAACAAATCCTTCTAATAAAATCGAACCAAACCGAAAGCAATTTAGTTATCGCCAAGACGTAATTAACGTCATATTAATTAGCCTACGTAATTAGAGGCATAAAATTAATTGAATGGATCGATATGTTATTAAATAAATATCGAGATTGTGTAGACAAATTGTATCATTATAGCGGCATTAATTGGTGTGTCATAATGGTACCCTTCGCGCCTTGCTTGAAACGCTATGATAATTTTTAAAGCTGACCCATTTTCTTTATCGAACCTTTTCCACGTTGTTGTTGGTCTCTTCAAAGTGACCCAAAAATGTCAACGAAAAATATGAATACGTTCTTATGTGAGAAGAGGCATTCTACTCTCAAGTGGCCTAATGTTTGCTCAGGTTATCTCCTAGCCTAGACTAGTGCGTACACAAAAGAAAATGAGTAAAAAAGCCTGTGTGATATAATATATTGTTAACACTAATGCTGAAATTGTCGAAATTGAAATCTAGCAGATCAATTGATCAAGAGAATATGAAACTGGAGCAGTGATGTAGGGGTTTGATCGATTTTACAGTTGGGAAAAAAAGAATACAAATTCAAAATGATTAATTATCACAAAAATAAATCTTATCGAAATCAGCTAAGTAAACCAACGTAACAGTCACGTACCGACTTTGGACCCTGATAGAAAATATTTGTACTTTTATTTTGCAATTTACAGTACCGGATGTCCGTATGATCAGAATGATGTCGGAACATTTTTTGACTTTGAACAAAATCTGACCTAATTTTCACAAAGAACATTTTTTTGTTTGTTTGTTTGTTTCCTCGGCTATTAATTTTTTTAAGCGATATATTTTTCGTAATATGGAAAAACTGTAATGGTGGATTTTAAAGAAACTTGATGTTGATTTTCTCCCAAACCAATGAAAGAAACTGTCCCTCTTGTAAAAGCTGGTCGCTTGCTGTTGATAATGTTGAAGTGATTCGATGGACGTTGCTTCCTCAATATCACTTACTTAAGATCAAATCGACACGTTTCCATTAAGAGTTTTACAGTTTTATTAACATCCATCGTAACTTTCTTTCGAAAAATGTTTAAATGAAATTTGGATCAGATCGTCTGCATTGAGTCAAAGTATTATCATCATATTATTTTGAGTCTGCATTATTTTTGCTGAAGACTAATCATGCAGGCATTTTTTCAATAGTGTCACAATGAAGTGAAGAAATTTTAAGAATAACATTCGAAGCTCTAAGCAAATAGACAATGAAGGTTTGGAATTAAAATTTTCATTATTTCTCGAATCAATTTCCTCATTGAAATTATCTACGTCTCCCATTTCGAACTAGCGCAAACACGATTTTTTCAGTCCCGTCCACTTTTCTTCACAATTGGGACTTCAGCTGATTGGTTCAATATCTCCAGGGTCATCTTGAAAAACTCGGTCGAATTTTCAAACTGTATGAGATAAAGTCCGTATTGATGTACAGCAAGGATATTATTTCGATTGTTGTTACATAAAACATAAACATGGTGGGCACGTGATTTGTTTAATCCTTCTGTTTTCAAAAGAATGTCAAATAATTAATAAGATAAGAAATTATCTGAATGAGATTATGTATCGGGTTATAGTAAACATACTAAAATTCGAGCGAAAAACTTATTAAATTTAAGCTCGTAGTTTAAGCTGAGAAAATCGAAGGTTTTGGGAAATACCATATTTGATTAATAATTTAAAAGTTTACGACAGACTAATTAGAGAGTAAAAGTCTGTGAAAAATCACAATTTACAAATCCATGGATCCCAGATTATTTCAATCACATTGTCCAAAAACTCCTAGCAAATCCAGTAAATTACAAGAGTGCGGCTTTCGCGATCATTGCTTGAAACTGGTGAGTTTTTCGGGCGCTTAGGCCGTCGTTGAACAAAATTTTTCTTTCAGAGGTGGTTTGTTCAGTGAAACTTTTTATATTTCAGTTTAATTACAATTCTACTAGTGTGTCCATATAGGCCTTAGCCAAAATAGAGTCAGGAAAGAATTGGGTGCTTGAAAATATGTAAAAAAATGATAGACTTATGTTTAAGAACATTGGAGAAGAGCCGTTTTTTTACCAAAGCTATTGTAATAAATTCGAGCATTATATGACATAAACCTGCCCAAAACTACCTTAATTCCCTACAACACTATTAGAGCCATTCTTCATTGTAAATCTCCGTTAGATCAAAATAAAAGATAAGTTTAATTAACTCCAGGTTAAAATGTCCCTTAAAGCTTCCCGCTGATAGTGGAATTACCATAAAATTCCATTTATATAAATGCATTTGATGTAGCGCCAAAGAAGCTAAGTTATGCAAGAGCCACCCTGTGAATTTTCGAGGGAAATATTTTGAATTTCTAATGAATTGAAGCCCTGTGGCGTTTTAATCGATCTCGGCTACCTTTAAATGGTTTTCGGAATGGGGTGGATTTGAATTGTGACGCGATCACACCATGAATATTCATACGTCTAATTATTTGCGTTGATAATTCCATAATTCATTTAAAACAGAAATTAATGGGACCAGTCTAATGCCGAATTCTCAAATTTTCTGGTGTGAAATTAATTTAAAAAAACTCAAAGGTCGTGATCTGATGATATTTTTGTTATAATCTAGGTATGAAATAATTTTGTAATTTTAGACCTGACTGATTAGGAAATTGGGATTTATTTCGGCCATAGAAGATTGATAGACATTAAAAAAGACCGCGTTATAAATCAACCCGAATATGTTCTTACTACCTGATTCCGAAAATTTACAGGATTTTAAATTTCTCAAAAAAGTGAAACTGACAACGTACGCTCATCGGCAAGATAAGATTGCAAAACAATTGTTTTCAATGTTTTTGCCACATTTGTAATGCGCAAATTACTCATTCAGTTACTTAGTTTCAATTAATTCATCGCCTGCCCGACACAAAGCTTGAATGTTTTGAAAATCAATGTTTATGTTTGCTTTTATTGATATCGTTTGCATGTATTGGTACAAACATCAAATATTGGTCTTGGCATTAAAATATAACAAATGTTGCCAAAACTTGCAAATAGTGCTCGAACTGAACTGTGTCAACTATTTAAAGTGTTAAAAAAATGAAGGCTGAAGTCTATTCAGCTTTTATTAGATGATCAAGATAGGACAGATGGACCAATATTGACACGATTTGGTGCAACTCTTTAGGGAAATTATGAAACTGTGAAGGTTTGCCATTGATTAATGTCTGTTGATTTAAGGTGTGTAATATTACTTCGGTTTCTTCAATATTTGCTTCCTAATTAATTTTAAAAAGTAGTTCGACTAGTTTTGTGTGGAGAGAGTCGAAAGGAAATGTTTTCTTTGATTTTCCGGATTTTATTCCATTTATGATTGGGTCTGATAAGAAATACTAGACAATATGTAATCAACAATTGGAACAAAGCTGTGAGGATGAAATTATTTTAAAGGAAATAGTTCAGGAAGACGCAAAAAATTGGCGGATTTTGCTTTTTGAGGAAATGATCGCATACTTACAAATTTTCTGTTGCAAACCGGAGAAAACAACACAGTGTTTGCGTTCTTACAGACAAGAAGATCTAGAAGAATCATTTAAACACGTGTGTACGGTATGTACATTTTTGAGGCAATATTATGTGTTTTTAAGAGTATATATTTACACGATAACAACGTTAACCAGTTAACCCGCACGGGAAACATTTTGTATCCAACACACAGACTAACACTGTCTGAAACGAGTCCGTACTATATGGGTATAAAATTATTTAATAAACTAGAAAACAACAATAAAAAAGTAAGAATTGAAAAAATTGTTTAAGAATAAATTAAAACAGATGTTAATTGAGTTAGAGCCTTATAGTATTAGAGACTATTTAAATATGTAACAACAGTACCTTTTAGTATAATATGTCCTTTGTCAATTGTTTTTTAACGCCATTTCATTTTGTATTCTTTATACATGTGCATGTATCAGAACGTAATTTGAAATAAAAAAATAAATTAAAAGAAAACACAGATTTTCGAAACTTTTTAATTAATTGGCAAGAACTAACGTGAAATTGCATTTTGCAGCATTTTTATGAACCATTATCATGTACAGGTGCTATGGGTTTTCGATTGGTTCTGGTGAAAATTATTTTCTTCAACTTCCCACACTAATAGTCCCTGGCCTGGCTCAGTTTGAGTTTAATATTAACTTGTCCGGAATAATTAGAAAGCTGTGCTTTTCTCCAAGCTTTCCTCTTGATGCCTTACAAGTGAATTATTATGGTCATTTTTCCTCAGAGATATTTAAAAAATTGAAACCTAATTTTATATATATTATATTTTCAAAGTATTTTTTACTATTTTACCAATTTAAAAAAAAAGTAATTGAATTTTTTAATTTGTTTATTTAGATTTTAAATAGTCTAATAGTTCGTGTGTATTGAAAGTATAGATAATAAGCACCTCTCTTCAACAAAATAAATATGATTTTATAAAGAATCAGAAAATGTCAGAAAAAAATTTTCGGCAAAAAATTTGAGAATTTGCCGAAACACGCATTCACGCATTTTCATTCTATTTAATGTGTTTTCAAATGAAAAGTTTTGACCCTATTTTCACTGGTTCAACAAAAATAGATTTTTTCAATTTGATTTTCGAAAAGCGTTTGCAATTTATTTAAATATTGATAGCAAAAAATTATGAAATTTAATTTTTATTAAATGAAAACACGTTCGGGAGATACAAGTAATTTATGAATGACATAAATAATTGGGGAAAAATTCCGTTAGAAAATCTTATCTCAGAATTGTGATAAGTACTTACTTACACATAGGTCGGTTGCATACAGAGCGTTATAACTGAGCAATGCCTTGGAGAGCATCACTCACACCAAAGCACATCCTAATTGGAACACTAAAAGCACTGAGTGACCACACAGCATCTATCCAAACACTGGTGTACAACACACAAACAGTGGCCCGGTTTGCGGTTCAGTTTTTACTGAAAAACACTTCTGAGCGGCAGAAAAGTCTTCGGTACTGTCGCGTGAAGAACATTCCTCAGAGAAGGATATAGAGTCCTGATCCTCGAAAAGGATAACTGAATCGTCCTGAGCGCAAAACGATCCGCGATTGCGTCCGGAGCTGCTTCGAACGTAGTCGAACAGTGAATGATTGCGGAGCGTGCAATCTGTGAATACTTCCATCCAAGGTAGAGGTGGAATTGCGTTTAAACGTCTGTATAAGTGAGTGTGAATACTGTGAATCCTTACGTATTCGATTATCCTTTGGTTTTATAGTTTGGACACAGCCTGGAAAAGGATTGGCTCCTTTTTACGAAGCGCTTGATCTGCGGCGCCGGTACTTGTGACATTACGATTGATCGATTGTTTTAAGTATATTTCGCTCATCATCGTCTCAGTCCTTTTATTTCAACATTTCGCCTGTATTATACCTCAACTTCCGGTCTAGTTCAACTACAACCACCTAATCACCTTTGCTGGCTTTCGGTATATTTATAGATCTACCCAAGGCTTTTGACTGCTTGGACAAGAATAATCATCAAATCGCTTGGGGCGACAGACAAATTAAGCAATTGCTTTGAATCGGTTTTTAAGAGAGAATTTCTTTTTTTGTAGATAGGAAGAGCGAGTTTTCGAGAGTAAAACACGGAAGCTTATACAAGATTGATAGATAGATAAGGGCATTGTTAACTAGAACACTTTTATGTGTTTTATACGTTCATCCTAAAATACTACCTTGTATTCAGAACAAAGTGTTATTTTCCAACCAGAAAACATTTCTCTTGACTATTTGAATCAGCTATCTACACTTGATTGATTAAATTCGTTTTTAGTTTTATTTAAGAAAATGAGGCTCAACGGGCTTTTCTTTTAAAATAATATCTCGAAGATTGGGACTTTGTTCTGTTCACTTTTTTGTATAATATGCCGATGATACTAATGTGATTGCTCGAACTATAATCGTATGCCCCTATAGTAAAAGAAGCAGAATGGTTTACACTGAATTAATTAATACTCAAAATTAATGAAGCTAACGTAGAATTTTTTACAAACCCGCTCACCTGTAAATTGAGAATAATAAATTATCAATTATCGAAAATGTCGAATTATTGGATATTTATACAAATGAATATCTTAGCTGGTTGGTTCATATTAATCATCCGATGAAATAGTTAAGCTTCATTTGTTGAGGTATTAGAATAATCGGGAGATATTTGAATGAGAGTTCTAGTACTTCGCAAGCTTTTAGTCGTTTGCTCAATATGGCCTGATTATGAGATTAAGAGATGTTATTTATTATTTTATACAAACTTCTTTTTGGGTATTTCGCCTCAAAAATGTTTG